ACCCCAGGGTCTCCCGGCCGGAGACCTCCCCAGCTCTGCTGTGGACGGGGAAGGTCGGCGATGCGTCTGCGTTCCGTGTCTGGGGATCTCGGGCGTTTGTCCGCGACTTGTCTGCGGACAAGCTGTCCCCTCGTGCTGCTCCCTGTGTCTTCCTCGGCTTCCCCCCTGACGCTCCAGGGTGGCAGTTCTACCACCCCTCCTCTCGTCGTGTTCTGTCCTCCCAGGACGTCACGTTCGACGAGTCAGTCCCCTTCTACCGCCTCTTCCCCTACCGCACTCCTTCCCTCCCCCCGCCACCGCACTTCCTTGTGCCAGGTCCCCCCCCGGTAGACCCCCTTCCCCCTCAGGGTCCTGCCCCTTCAGGTGTGTCCCAGGTAGACGCAGTCGAGCCGGTCGAGGTTGCTGGTGACTCTGGTCCTGCTGCGGGTGCTGAGCCTGGGGGTGCTGAGTCTGGGGGTGCTGAGCCTGGGGGTACTGCGACTGGGGGTGCTGAGCCTGGGGGTGCGGAGTCTGGGAGTGCTGAGCCTGGGGGTGCTGCGACTGGGGGTGCTGAGCCTGGGGGTGCGGAGTCTGGGGGTGCTGAGCCGTGGGGTGCTGCTACTGGGGGTGCTGAGCCAGGGGGTGCTGCGTCTGGAGGTGCTGAGCCTGGAGCTGCGGAGCCTGCGGCCACTGGACCTCCCCTTGTGGCGTCTGGCGGTGCGGGACCTGGCGGTTCTCCGGGTGCTTCGCCTCGGCGGGAGCCCCTCTCTCCACAGGAGCTGCGCGAGTGGTTTGCCCGGCGCTGGAGGCGTGCTGCTGGAGCTGGAGGTGTGGCTGTGCGCGAAGGTACTGTAGTGATTTATGGTCTGTCCGTACTGTCACGTCCGCGCCAGTCAAGTAACAGCGCCATACTTTGAACGCGTGCACGATCGCAAGCATTTCGCGGTCGTGTATCGGGTAATTTTTCTCGGGCGGATGCAGTTTTCGTGACTCGTATGCGATAGGCTGTAGGCCATTGCCGAAATCCTGTAGCAGTACAGCTCCGATGGCGATGTCGCTTGCGTCGGTAACTACTTCGAATGGGCGGTGTGGGTCGGCGATGCGCAGGACGGGCGGTGAACAGAGAACATTTTTCAGGGCAGAGAAGGCAGCATGCTCTTTCTCCCCCCACGTAAAGGCGACCCCCTTCCGCAGTAAGTCCGTCAGTGGGGCAGTTAACCGTGCCATATCGGGGACGAACCGACGCACATAATTAACGAACCCTAAAAAGCTCTGCAGCTCCGTGATGTTCGTCGGGGGATGCCACGCTTTTACCGTATCCAGCTTCTTTGGGTCGATTTCAACTCCAGCCTCCGAAATAACGTGCCCCAAAAATTCTAACCTATCCTGGAAGAACTCGCACTTGGAACCCTTGGTCAGTAATCTGTGCTCGTCTAAAACCTTAAACACTGCTTCCAGATCTGCTAAGTGCTGTTGCTTATCCCGACTGTAAACTAGGATGTCGTCGAGGTAAACTATTACACATTTGTCTAAGAGCGGCCTAAATGTCTCGTTCATGGTCATCTGAAAAGTCGCCGGTGCGTTGGTCAGCCCGAATGGCATCACAGTGTACTCGAACGACACGTACCTAGTTCTGAAGGCTGTTTTGGCGCAGTCCGATGGTTCGACTCTAATCTGATGGTAACCTCCCCGTAAATCTATTTTCGAAAAAACCCGTGCTGTTCGCAGTTGGTCGATCAGTTCGTCGGCGCGGGGAATGGGGTACCGCGACTTGACTGTTACCCTGTTCAGTGCTCTGTAGTCGATACACATGCGAAAACCCCCGTCTTTTTTCGGCGTGAACAGTATCAGTGCGGCAAATGGTGACGAGCTCGGTCGGATGAATTTTTTCTCTAACAAGTAATCTAACTGCTTCCTTAGTTCGTCGAGCTCGGGCTGTGTCAGTCTGAACTGGCGCTGTACGGTTGGCTGTGCCCCCGGTTCTAATTCGATTCGGTGGTCATGTGCTCGCTGAGGTGGCAGTCCTTCCGGTAAGTCGTCGGGGAAAATCCCGGGGTATCGTTTCAACAGTTCCTGTAGTTCGGGCGGTACTGCTGCCACCAGTTTCTTGAAATCACTCGGCTGCTCTGCTCCCTCTACTACTGCGATGTCTACTGCGTACACGTCAGCTCCAGCAGCGACAGCCCGTTTCATTGTGACGGCGTTGACGTGTATCGTTGAAGACTCGGGCGACTGCCAGCGAGGTAGCTCGACCCAGTTACCACTACTTCGCACGGTGCAGCTACCCGTCGTCCAGTCAATTCGCGGGTTATACCGTCGCAGCCAATCACGTCGAAGTAATATATTGTGCCCATCCAGTGTCGTTGCGAGCATTTCCTGTGTAAACCCGAAATTCCCCCCCGCAGCGGACTTTGACTCTCTCTACCTTTTCCCGTATGGCCAGTGGCGTGCCGTCGACTAAGCGTGCGTCTATCTCCGGTAAGCAACGGCTAAGTGTCAGCTGCAGTTTTCGTGCCGTTGCGGTATTAACTAAACTGTGGCTTGCTCCTCCGTCAATTAAAATCTTCACTGCTGCTCCTTGTATTTTCCTGTGGATCAGTACTGGGCAATCCGTCGCTGTACCCTCCTTATTCGTCCGAGTCCGATCGATAGCATGAATCGGTACTGTGACTCGGTGAGGGTCGGTGGGGTTAAGCGAGCAGGCAGTCTCGTCAGTAGTTGGCCCGATTCCTACTGACTGCTGGCGTTTCCCTGCCTTGGAGACTCCCTCCCCTGCTCTGTTCCGCGGCGCCTTAGCTCCTCTGGGCATTCGCTCTTGCGATGGCACGGCCTTTTGCAAGCAAAGCAGCGCCCCTTAAACGGCGCGGCAGCTGCACTCGTCGCAACAGCGTGTACAGTGGCGTGCTCGATCGGTCCCCGAGGACGATGTCCTTAGTAGGACCCCGGTCTCGGACGGCGTAAAATGTCGATTTTCTCGGCGAGCGCGAGAATCTCGTTGAAGTTCGAGAGCCCGCGTAGCATGATTTCGTGCGAGATGTCCGGCTTCAGCCCTCCGACGTTACGGTCCACCCGCTCCGCTTCGTGCATGTAGCCGACTTGCTCGCATAATGCGAGAAAACCACTCGTATAGTCTTGAACCGATTTGAGCTGCCGCCAAGTGCGCAATCTGTGACGCGCCAAAATAGAAGCCGCGATCGGCTCGAAGCGCGCCCGAAGCCCTGCGCACCACGCATCCCACGTGCTGTATTGGGCGGTCTCGCAGAATGAACTCCAGGTGACAGCTGGACCCGTGGGCCCTTCCTCTTGCGACGGTGGCTCGTAGGCACGTGGCGACGTCACGATGACTCGCCACCAGTCCATGGCAGGGCCCCTTAGCAGCGAAACGGCATACCGAATCTTCGCTGCGTCCGACTCGACGTAATTCGCGTCGAAGAAGACGTTCATCGTGAAGACCCACGATTGAACCGTCGGACCTCCACGCTGGCTCGGGTCGAAGCAGGGCGGGCGTTGCGACTTGAGTGGCATTGGTGCCATAATGGCCCGTTCGCCACTTGTCGCCGCGAACTCCACGTGCCGACGGGCTTCGCGAGGCTCCCGCGGGCTTGGTGCGACCCTGTTTCCTCCCATGCCAGGCATCGGTTGGGCGGCGCCATCGCTCGCTGCGCCTGAGCGCTGTCCCACGCTGTTGTTTTGTGTTGGTGTGCCGGACGAGATGACGATCGGCTCGTCCGATTGTGCAGATGCATTTGTCGGTGCGTGTGGTGGCGCTGGAGTGTTCATCGTTGATTGCTGACGCGCGGAGTTACGTTCCGCCGTGAACGTCGCAATTTCGAACGCCGAATCTTCAAGTTGGCGCACTAGGCGGTCGAGCTGCTCCTGCGTCAATGTGGCGAGCGTGAATTCGGCCATGGCGGGGGTGTCGGGCGAGCTCAGCGAGAGCCTCGGTCGTGGCCGTGCGTGCTTACGAGAGAGCACTACGAGCGGCGGTGCTGTGTCGCTGAGAGACGTCTACCCCCCCCAAAATTTGAGATAGTGGGGAAGCGAAGGTGTGGGTGCGGTCCGAGAAGAGATCGTAGGCTCTGAATACCAAGTGTTACGAGTGCAATTGAGTGAACGAACGAGAATTGCACTATCGAAGCAAGAGTACAATGAGCGAAGGCATGAGCGAAGAATATATAGCGAAACTACAGTGGTAACGGTAATGGATTGTGGTTGTCGCGCGACGAGCCTGGGACTGAGGTTGGGAAAAAGTGTCGAAGCGGAGGCCCTGAGCGCGGGTTACCCGTCGAGCCGTGAGGTCGGGGTGCGACGTGCGAAGGTGGCGGGCGGATTGTCGATGCGAGGGTTGCGAGTTGTAACGGTGCTGACTGTGGTGCTAAAGTGATGTACGCGTTGAGCAGGGATGCGAAGTAAGGAAAATGGATTTTCCTTAAAGCAAGGTCTCGCACAACCACTAAGGGCGACGTCAGGTTGTACAACTTTTTGTACGCCCTCTCCGGTAAATTTCGTTTCAACACGGTGAAGAGCGGTAATTGTCGCAAACCGCTTTTCACCGTGTTAGACCGTCCTGAACCACGATACAGGAACTGTAAGCGCGTGTGAAGTGTATAACCTGACGTCGCCCTAATGCAAAGCAGAGCAAAAGAAGGAAAAGAATCACCCTTTCGCACCCAATCCAACCCCGGTCACCCAAGCACCATATGCTCAAAATCGCTGATTACCGCACTCCGCCACTCGACCAGTGCCACATGCACACGCGCATTCCGTTCTAGTTTCAACTTCTGGAGAATTGGGAAGTACGAGCAGTTTTGTCAGCGCACTGCCAAAACCACGCGATCCGCTACGGCGCACACTCGGGGGCGATCCACCACCATTTGCGCCTCACCTCTCCCCGCGCCTGCCTCATTCATTACACCCCGCGCGCACCTGCGGCCTCCGCGCGCTGCCCTGCGTCGCCAGCTGCGGAACCGCTCGCCGCCGCGCATCACACTCCCTCCGCCGGTCCGCGCAGCCCCCGCGCCATGGCCGACCTGGGCAACGCCGACCGTCCGGCGCAGGGCACGGCGCGCGGAGGCAACGGCGCAGCCCCAGCGGGCTGTGATAAGGGGCTCATTCCGCGGTCGAATAAGGAGTACCTCAATATCGAGTACTGGTGAGCGCTTCAGCGAGGACGAGAAAAGGAAAGTAAATCCGCAAAAGGCGGGTACAGTGGGGGCGAGGGAGGGAGACGGGGAGCGCGCGGGGAGGGGAGGGAGATGGCGCCTGGATTGGTCTTGGTGGTGTGACTACACTCTAAGTACTTGTGAACCCTGAACCTTGAACCCTGTACCCTATACCCGAACTTCGTGGTGCAAGGGGTGGCGGGGTGTGCGGCGTGTGGGAGCAGGGAGGGCAGACGAGGGCGCGTGGAGCATGGGGTGGTAGGGACTCGGGTGACAGGGATGCACCATGCATGTATGCAGGCTGTGACATGCCTCAACCTGAACAGTGAAGAACAACCTATGGCATGCATGGTGTGGCATCTGATGGCATGGCATGGCACGGCATGGCGTGGCATGGCGTGGCATGGCACGGCATGGCATGGAATGGCATGGCATGGCATGGTATGGCATGGCATGGCATGGCATGGCGTGGCATGGCACGGCACGGCACGGCATGGCATGGCATGGCATGCCATGCCATGGCATGGCATGGCATGGCATGGCATGTCATCAGGGACAAGCGGTTTGAAGTGGAGGAGTCGTTTGAGTGGTGCGGGGACTACTCGCAGTTCAAGCACCTGCTGCTTGCACACATCCGCCCCTGCGACCGGGTAAGATACTTCCATCCATCCTCACATCACCCCTCCACATTCCCCCGTTTTCTTGCAAGGCGCCTCACAACCACACCCTTCCTCACGGTCCTGTGCTGTGCTGCTGCTCGCCCACACCCCCCTCCCCCCCTGCCACCGAGTACTCATGCCATTCTCTCTGCCTTTCCAAGCGCCTCATACTGCCGCTCCCTGCACATACTCCCTGCTGCCTTCCCAAGCCTCCTATGTTTCCTATCGTCCTGCGTCTTCTCGTTACTCTTGCTTGCAGCTGTTCGCTGTGTCAGCCATCTGCCCCTCAACCCCCCTGCCCCTCCACGCGTGCCCCTGTCGTGCGCGCATGCCAGGTGCTGATACTAGGCAACGGCACATCAGACCTGCCAGAGTGCCTGTGGCGGGACGGCCGCCGCCACATCACCGCCACCGACCTCTCTGCTCTCGTGGTGCACCGCATGGCACAGCGCAGCACCGATCTGGGAAGTGCCGCTGTGTGCGCTGCTGCCCCTGCTGCAGCGCCTGCCACAGCCGCCAATACAGCCCCGGATGCTGCTGCTGCTGCTGCTGCTGCTGCTGCTGCTGCTGCATGTGATTGCACCGGCACACACGCCGAGGCAGCCGCGCACACAGCTACTGGGGAGGCGCCTGGAGGGACACAGCCCCCGCAGCAGCATCAGCCGCAGCCGCCCTCCCCCTCTACCACTCGTGTGGACAGCAATGGCATGGGTGCGGTAGCAGGGGGCAGAGAGGGGCAGGCGCAGCATGCATGCTCAGGTAGTACTGGCTCTACTGGCTGTGCAGGCTGCAATACCTCTGGTGACAGCAGCAATGGGTGTGAGCCGCGCAGCAACAGCAACAGCAGCAACGGCGGCGGCAGCAGTGGTGGGGGAGTGGTGTGCGAGTGTGGGAGGGCGGTGGGCATCACATGGGCGGTGGCGGACATGATGGCTCTGCCCTTCCCCGATGCAGCCTTCGATGTCGTGCTCGAGAAGGGCGTGCTGGTGCGATCACTATTCATGCTTCATGGGTGATGGGTGATGGGTGATGCCTCATGGGTGATGGGTGATGGGTGATGCTTCATGGGTGATGGGTGATGGGTGATGCTTCATGGGTGATGGGTGATGCTTCATGGGTGATGGGTGATGGGTGGGAAGAGTAGATTGGGTGGGGTGAAGGTTTGAGAAGGCTGTTGTTTGTGAGGAAGGGCGCCATCCACCATCCATGCTGTTTTTTTCTTCTCTTTTCTTTTTCTCTTTTTTTCACTGCCACTACCTCTCTTCCACCAAAATCCCGTGCATCCTCTTCATTGCTGTGCATGCACCCCACCCCACCCCACCCCACCCCACCACACCACACCACACCACACCGCAACCCAAATGTAGCTGCCAACACAGCTACCATCTCTATCCCATCATGTTCCTATCAGCCACTTCCACCCCCCCCCCTCTTTCCCCTCACACTTTCCTCTCCCCCTCTCCCATTCTCCCTCTCTCCCTCTGCCCCTCTCCCCTCCGCCCTCAGGACGTGCTATTAGTGGACAGCGACTCCCCCTGGCACGTGCCGCCCCCCATCGTGCAGCGCGTGCACACAGCGCTCTCACAGGCCCACCGCGTGCTCACCCCGCACGGCCGCCTGCTCTCCATCACCTTCGGACAGGTGCGCTGTCACACAGGTGTGCTGTCACACAGGTGCGCTGTCACACACGTGCGCTGTCGGCCAGGTGCTGTGCAGGGGGACAGGATGAGGTACAGCCGACGGGCTGAGAGAGAGGGAGAGAGAGTGGATGGAGCAGGCGGGTAGGTGCTCTGCTGGGCGAGGGAAGGATGGTACAGCCAACGGGTGGAACGGGGGGAGGGGGGATAAGGGGTAGGGGGATGGGGGGAGGTGTGGATGCTGCAGAATGGGCATGGGTCTCATGGGTGCCATGGGATATGGGTACGGGGCAAGGGGGGAACTTGTCAGATGTCTTGCGTTGTTCCAAGTCAAGCGCCCCGTGTCCCTTGCCTACCACAGCACATGCATCTGTCACTTTTCAGAGCTGTCAAAAGTATCTCTTTTCCGTGCCTACCGTAACACATGCCACCAATCTCACCCCTCGCCTCGCCTCACCTCTGTGTCCTGCCACGTCTCACACTGCCTCAGCACGTCTCACACTGCCTCAGCACGTCTCACACTGCCTCAGCACGTCTCACACTGCCTCAGCACGTCTCACACTGCCTCAGCACGTCTCACACTGCCTCAGCACGTCTCACACTCTCCAAGCTTGCCTCTTTTCCCGCCCCTCGCCCTCTCCTCCACTCGCTCCCCCTGCAGCCTCACTTCCGTCGCCCCCTTTACGAGGCTCCTCACCTCACATGGACGCTGCAGGTACTCCCTTTCCCCGCCACACTCCTCTTCCCCTCCTCACTCCTCTTCCCCGCCACACTCCTCTTCCCCTCCTCACTCCTCTTCCCCGCCACACTCCTCTTCCCCTCCTCACTCCTCTTCCCCTCCTCACTCCTCTTCCCCTCCTCACTCCTCTTCCCCGCCACACTCCTCTTCCTCTCCTCACTCCTCTTCCCCGCCACACTCCTCTTTCCCTCCTCACTCCTCTTCCCCGCCACACTCCTCTTCCCCTCCTCACTCCTCTTCCCCTCCTCACTCCTCTTCCCCTCCTCACTCCTCTTCCCCGCCACACTCCTCTTCCCCTCCTCACTCCTCTTCCCCGCCACACTCCTCTTCCCCTCCTCACTCCTCTTCCCCGCCACACTCCTCTTCCCCTCCTCACTCCTCTTCCCCTCCTCACTCCTCTTCCCCTCCTCGCTCCTCTTCTCCGTCTCACTCCTCTTCTCCTTCTCACTCCTCTTTCTTGCCGCACTCCTCTTTCCCGCCGCACTCCTCACTCGATTGGGGACTCCATCCATGTTCGCGTTATTTCTAAAATATTATTGTTGTGCTGTGTGCCCCACCGTGCCCCTCTGTGTCCCCTGTGCCCTGCTGTGCCCTTCTGTGCCCCTCTGTGCCCCTCTGTGCCCCTCTGTGCCCCTCTGTGCCCCTCTGTGTCCCTCTTTGCCCCTCTGTGCCCCTCTGTGCCCCTCCGTGCCCTGCTGTGCTCCAAACCTGCAGCACACGGCCTTTGGGGACTCCTTTCACTACTTCCTCCTCCACCTCGCCAAGGTGTGCGCTGTCCACCAAAACCCATCCCACCCCACAACCCAAAATGCGGAACCTCTTCCTAGATATTCCCAAGTCTGAGTTGTCAACTGAGTTGTCAAAGCACACCTGTGCTGAGTAGTGACCATGTTTGCACGTGCCTCCCACCCATGCTCACCGCCCATTTGCTGTCACCCTGTACTGCTCGTCCTTCTCCCTTGGTGCTACGCAGGGAGCTCGTACTCCCACAGTCGGAGACAATGCCTCTGCTGCCGATGGTGATTCTGAATCGGCGGGTCTTGTGATAACTCTACCGCAGTCCTCAGATGCCCAACCACCGTTGGATTTAGAGCATGAGTTCATGGATTCGGCTGATTTCTTCTCCCACTGTTCCCTCGGACTGGATTAATTATTGTGCTTAGATGCTGAGGCAATTTCACTATTGGCAAAGTCTGTTTCTAACGAAAGCTGTATTTGAACTGCAAGTTGGTTTAAAGTGTAGACTTGTTTTCGGCACGACAGTTGCGCGCCGAGCTCGACGGATCCTGCTTTCCCCTCCACCCAAACCACTCCCCTCCCCCGCCTCCACTTGAACCAAATTCTCAACCACACTCCCTTCTGCCGCGAGCTATGGCTGCTCGCCCCCTCGCCGGCCTCCGACTCTCCTCCCCCTTCACCCCCATCCGCATTCCGTCCCCGATCCCCCTCATTCGCCGCTCCGCGTCCCCGTGCGCGCTCCCCTGTGCTGCACCGCGCTGCTACCGCTTGCGCAGAATCCGCGGTTCCCCATCGTGCGCGCATCTTCCGTCGTCCGCTGCGTATCCCGTCCCCTCGCCTCTTTCACCCCCAATTCCGCCAGCCCAGCGCGCCTTCCCCACGGGAGAAGCCGCACCAGGCGGATACCTGACACGCACAGCAATCGCTCACGGCTGCGCGGGTGATCGCCGCTGCCGCAGCGGGGTGGCGCGCGCAGCAGGCGCAATGGCGGAAGCTGGGGGGTTAATGGCGGAAGGCAGCGGGGAGCAGAACAGCGGAGCGCGCAGCAGCGAGTGGGGCGGCGGCGCAAGCAGGGTGCGAGTGCGGCGGGTGGGCGCGAATCCAACGGAGATCATCGATCTGCCCGCCGAGTCGCGCTTCCGCGCGTCGCCAGCAGCAGACGGCGCAGCGGCAGAAGCCGCGGATGGCATTGCCGGGCAGATCCGCAGCAGCATCGCGGAAGCTTCTTCCGCGGGGGTTCCCCCGCCCGCGGTGCTAGTAGTGCCTGGGAATCCAGGCGTGTGCGCGTATTACACGGACTTTGCGCTCGCGCTGCACTCCGCGCTTGGCGGAGCTGCGCGCGTGGTGGTGGTGGGACACGTGGCGCACACGGAGCGCGAGATGGAGGGCGGACGTCTGTACTCGTTACAGCACCAGATCCAGCACAAGATAAGGTTCATCCAGGAAGAAGCGGGTATCGCTGCAGCAGGAAACGAAGCTGACGAAACCGCGTACCAGCAACAACGGCAACAACAACAGCCACCACAGCAGCAGCAGCAGCAGCAGCGGTGGGTAGTGGTGGGGCATTCAATCGGCGCGCATATAGCAGTGGAGATGCGCAGGCACCTACCCTCCCACGTGGTGCACGTGGTGGGGCTCTTCCCCTTCCTCACCTTCAACCACCAATCAGACGAGCAGCGGCGCCTGAAGCTGATCGCGTCGCTCACGCCGCTGCTGGCGGTGGTGGCGGCGCTGCTGCAGGTGGTGCGGGTGCTGCCGGCGCGGGTGGTGCAGTGGGTGGTGCGGCGCGGCGTGGGGAAGGCGTGGAGCCATGGTGCCGTGCATGTCACCGCCACTGCCATGCTCCGGGTGGGTTGATTGCTTGGCGCCATGCTGTCATCACATGCACTCATGCGTACTTTTGAGGTGCTTCAAAAGGCGGGGCGTGGGGAAGGCGTGGAGTCATGGCGTGGTGTGGTGCATGTCACCGCCACTGCCATGCTTCGGGTGGACCCATTGCTGACATGCTGGCATCACATGCACAGATGCAGACATGCACACATGCACATGCAAAGACAGGGAAGTGCATTCACACACTGAGAGGGGCGGTGCCCTGTGACTGTTCCATGTGTGTTGTGATTCGTTAATCTCATCTCTAGCACCGTCTGTAGCACATGAGCATTCTGCTCCGCGGCATCTCTCTCAATCGCCTCCCTAAATGATTCCGGTTCCTCAAATCCTTGCTTGTGTTGTCCTGTGCCACTCATCATCCATCTCGCGTCACCCATCGCCCTGCCCACCGTGCACTCTCCATGATGCCCCATGGCAGTACAACATGCTGCGCAACTATGCATACATGGGGCACACCGAGTTCATCTATGTGAGTGCCTCTGCATTTCCCATTTCCCCGCTTGCCATTCCCACTCTTCCTCGCTGCCTCGCTTCCCCATTTCCCCATTTCTTCACTTCCCCTTTCGAACGATACTCCTATCTCCACCGGCACCTTGGTTTCTCTCTTTCACTGGAACGCCTTTCTTTGCTTTCCCAATCGCTGCCATCGGCACCCACCTCTTGCATCATTCCATCATCCCATGCTATCATCCCCTCTAGCAGTAACCGGGGCCCCTTCAACACATACATGCCTACACCCTTTGCTGCCTTTTTCCAAGTCAGCCCAGATTCACCCTCGTTTGCACTTACTCATCCTTCATCCTTGCTCCCTTGTGCCTCCGCTCCACCAATCAACCTCTCCGCCTCGCACCACCGGGAGTGAGCAGTTTTCGCAGCGGGAGTTTGACTGGGCGTTTCTGAGCAGCAATGCGCCGCACTTCACTTTCATCTTTGGCCGTGACGACCACTGGGGCCCGCTGCACCTGCACCAGCAGGTAGGCCCCTCTGCCCATCCCCCTGCTGCTCGTGATGCCATGATTTGATGCTGTGCTGACATGATGCTGTGGTGCCATGATGCCATGATGACGTGGTGCCATAATTCGATGCAACCATACCATGCCGTCTGTCATCAGCATCGCACATCCATGCTCTCTCACACCCTTGTCCCTCTCTCCAACCACCCTTCTTGCTGCCGCAGATGCAGGAGCGAGTGCCAGAGGTGGCAGCATACGTGGACGAGGAGGGGCATGAGCACACCTTCTGCTGCACTGACCGGGGTGCCAGCAGCATCGCAACGCATGTCGCCAAGCTGCTGCGCTCGCAAGGCACTCTCCCTGCTACATAGCTGCTCCGCCAGGCACTGGCGTTTGGTGGAAGTCCTCACTTTTTCTCAATAACTTCATCAGCAGCTCATAGCACTTCAGTATGCACTGTATCAGGGAACCCGACCCGGCTAGCAGGATGACGCATTGGAACCATGTCCTTCTGAGAACATACCTGACCTGTACCGTATCTGACAAGTTTTTGCACAACACCACTCCATTCCAGCATGGTGCGCACCAACCAAATTTGACATGACACACTGGTTCCGAGTGCCAGCAACTGCAATAAAACCACACCGTTGAACAGTTGCCTAACAAAATTGGAAACATTGGTCTAATCCTTCAGCAGTACAAAACATATGTACTAAACTACAGCATCAAAGCGCATACATAATCACATTCAGTCCATGCAAAACACCTTCAGCTTGCTAGCAGTACTCTCTCCTGCGCCTGCTTGCTTACGGTCACTGAATCCCAGCTCCCTTCTGTCTGCACTGGGCATTGAACCCACAGAGTGAAGTTCGCGTCTTGTGACTGAAACAGCTTCTGAAGCACCACTTCCTCTAGTCACATCCGCAATGACCGCTTGCTCCGGCGAACCCCACGCATCAAACACTACTACCACACCTCACTACAACTCCAAGCATCCCATTACTCAAGCCTTCAGCCCGCTCCATCCACCTCACCTAGATCTCCCCACTCTCCTCCAATCCCCTTTCCTCCCCCGATCCCTACGTATCGCGCGCGCGCGCTACTCCTCGGGCGGGGGCTGGTCGGGGTCCTTGTCGGGGTCGATCTCGGGGTCCTTGCGCTCCTCGTCTTCCTCCTCCTCGTACGGCGGGTCCGCTGGGGGCGGCTGCGGAAGCGGGGGCTTCAGCGGGGAGAACTGCGGGAAGATGTCCGGTCTCCGTCCGGGCCCGGGTCGCTCCCATTCCTGCCACGCGCGAAGGTTATGAGCATGGGGGGAAAGGAGGGGAACGAGGTGGGGGACAACGGGGAAGAACGACAGGAGTGAGGCAGTGCAGGAGGAACGGAGGAGAGAAGGTATAGCCATCAACTACACAAGGAAAGATGACAGCGAGTAGGCAACTTGCAGTTGACTTTTTTTGTTAAGCCGATGCAGGGGCCAATGCAGGCAACTGGAGTGGTAACGCTAGCTGGGACGGCTGGCACGTGGCAACTAGGCAATTCAGCTCAGCTGTTTCGCACATACAGCACGCAATTAGGCATATATTAGCGGCTGCGACTCACTTCGTTGGCAGGACCAAGGTGGTCAGTGATGGTCGCTGACATGATTGCCAGAAATTGTTAGGGAAAAACTGATTCAAAAACTTCTTGCTAACAAACTGACCTTGTCTAGCCTAATGGAGTTTAAAGAATGTCACACGATCAAAGGACCAGTTTACTCGGGCGTAGTCTAAGCCCGTCGGACGAAAAGCCGAGCGGCGTCCCAGTATCCGGGCATCTCCTACGTATGGCCTCCCTTTGCATGTCCTAGTTTCGTTTAAATATATAAAATGCAGAAAAAAAAACCTACCAAACCGGATCGAAGAAAAGAAGAGGGTGGGAGGGTGAGGAGGCGGAAGGGGCGAGGTGGACAAGAGGAGAGACGGCGTAAGGAAGAAAAGGGGAGGATAAAACAGGGTATGAAAGGAATAAAGCGCGAAACGAGACCAGGGCAAGAGAGAAGAGCAAGGAGGAATGGCCTACCACAGGAAAGTCGAGTGGGGAGCGCTTGGTCATCTTCTCTTCATCCGGCGCCATCCTCGTTACCATGCGCTTCGAACCCGCTTGTCTCCTCCCCACCGACACCCGTGAGCATCCCAGGAACGACGAGTCGGTGCAGCTGCCGCCAACTTGCACGCGCGCACACGATGCGACGACTCCATGCGACGACTGGGACTGGTGCTGCGAGGAAGGGACGACACTCACGTGGAGAGCCTGCGACATGGCCACGCAACGCAGAGCCGCTGACGCGGCCATTGAACCTGATCAGGACCGCAAAGAAGTTTTTACGAAGAGCTCCGAACCAAAGGGATCAACCTTGGTAGGGGACGCTGAACTACTAGAGGCTAATCAGGAAAGATGAGGCTTGGAAGAACAACACTAGCTGGTCCAGATGAGCTTTAGATAAGCCAGATGAGAGGGTCTTGGGTTTGGCGGAGGTTGGATGACTCTGCGGAACTTGAAGGGGGGGCTTTGCTGACGTGTTGACGCGAACGTGGCAAGAATGGTAAAAACGAGAGTGGACGTGAAATCCGCATCTGGAGGTTTCGATGTCTGTAACATTTGTTGACGTGGCATTACGCAGAATGCAGGGAATGAACTCCCAATTTCTGCACAATCCGTTTATAGCGAAACAAGAGGGCCTACCGTATCACTAACAGCTTCTTCTTCAACACATGAGATCACTAGATAGCGTGAGCCCTCACAAACTAGAGCTTGCTTTATCGCGCTAATGGGCTAGCCAGAATGCAAAATGGAGAAACCAGGGAGGCTCAAACTTTCCTCTCTGTGCTAGGACAAAACATGCCGGTTTGGCTGTGACTCTTTGGCAGCTATGTAAGTAGTGCGCATGTATGCGGTAGCAGTGCAGTAGCCCTCATAATTCAACCTACAGAATGTGACCACCATCACCATGCCCAACAACCCACCACACCATATCCACCCTGAATTCCTGAATTGCTGTTACTATTGTCACACAAAATCAATAGGTTGAGTACTGAAAGAACTTGATTGAATATTGGTCCCAATTCAGAATACATAACGCATGTACAGAGAATTTGCACTGATGAAGACCATGCAAACCACATCATGGCTCAACTCAAGCTGTGGTCCCAGCCAAAGTCTCTCAGCTTTAAGAACTCATGGCTCTCTGCTCCATAGCTTGGCACGACTCGCTCAGCTTCCCGCAGTTGATGAGAAAAGCATCCTCAGGAAGGGCAAGCAGCGCGCCCAGGCTGAGAGACAACCCCCTCTCCGCTGCCATGCGAAACCTAGGCTGGATGCGCCCATCGAGGCTGAACGAGAAGAACTGCGGAAAAGATAGGATCTCCTTTACGGAGCGCCGCATGGTCCCTGTGAGGAACTGCAGCTTGGGAGCCAGGTTGCTCTGGATGCTGTAGTTGAATATGGCGGGACAGCGAGCCAGCACCCGCTTCGCCTCGTCCGCCGTGAGCCCTTGCTCCTGCAGGAAGCTCAGTCTGGGCAGCAGCTTCTGCTGGGGGTCCACGCTCAGCAGCGACGGATTGTTAACGACCGTCTTCGCGAGATTCTCGACTCCCATGGCGCGCAGGAAATTGACGGCCGGCAGTAGCACCGTGTCGATCGGCTGAACCAGCAGCGCAGGGCAGCGAGAGATTACCTTTTTAGCATGCGCTCTGTCCAGGCCGAGGTCGCGGCGCAGTAGATACACCACGGGGAGGAGCCGCTCCTCGACATCCAGCGTCAGAATTTGCGGGCAGCGATGCACGACGCGTTCGATGTCGCGCGGCGTGCAGATGCCGACGTCCACGCGCAGGAAGTGGAGAGCTGCTCGCATGACAGGCAGCGTCGTGTCCATGAGCGCTGGGCACTTCACGATGGCTGCTACCATATCCACACCCAGCTCCTCCAAAAACACTGCCCTCTCCCTCACGCCCTTGGGGGTTGACCGTCTTAACCCCCTTGACTCCCGTGAATCCCGCGAATCTCTCGAGTCTCGTGAGTCGGGTAAGTCCCGCGGTTCCCGCACTTGCGACCCGTCTAGGTGCTGCAGGTACAGCTGCCACGCCATGGCCTCGCTCGACTGCGACAGCAGCGCTAGTGGAAGCATCGGCGGCGTGCCGGCGGAGGAACCGCGGGCAAGACTTTGCACGCCTCTTAAAGGCTTCTGAGGCTTTCTCACCGGTAAGTGGGCTCTGCGCGAAGGCGCCACGTGCCCTGCTTTCCCATTTGGCTCCCAACTACCTCCACACGAAAACGGCGGGCCGACAGGTGCGAGACGGAATACAGCTGCCTCCGGCGAGTCCGCTCGCTCTTGCCACAGGATACTACTGCCGCTTGAAAGAAGGCCTCTCCCGTTGCTGCAGGCAGAGGCGCTGGGACCGGCTTTCGTCTCGAACGCTGTCCTCTCGAGCGACCAGCCGTTGGCCTGCTTCAGCCCTGACTGCGTGCAATCGTCGTCGAAGCGAAGGCTATGCGAGGACGAACGGTCGGGGGACGAGACTCTCGGGCCGTGCGCGAAACGCCTCGCGCCTTCGCTGACCAGCACAGAGCTCTCCTCGATGATGGCTTGGCTGGCGGAAAGAGCGGGAGCGGGGCACAGACTGGCGGCCTCTGTGGTCGATGACAGCCGGCCGAACGACCTCGCCGCGCCGGACACCGCGGAGATGGCGCTCACCGCGTTCGCCATGTTCGGAACCGGACTCTGTTGGTTAGGATTGCGGAGCGGGATGGAGGTATGGCGAGCGGCGCAGGCTCCTGAGGATCGAGGTGATTAGGAGCTAGGGATGCATGGAGCAGCCAGAGGGCGTGAGGGCAATCCCTGCGTTGTTGCCTCGATGCAGGTGCACGGGACAAGCACGAGAGAGGGAGAGGCTCAACCCGACAGGAGCAGGAGAAACTCGAGGGAGGAGCAACTCTGGCTTGCTGGGGCACGCTCCAGGTTTCCTCCACCTACGCTGCCCTGAGCCAAGCAAGCCCAGAATCAGTCATCCCAGACCCCGCGGCGAACAGCCAGTGCTTGCTCAACGGGCAGTGGATGGGGTAGTTGCCCCATGAGACGGGGTTGGGGGACCTTCATGTGGAATTGAGATGCCTGCGATCAAAGAGACCAATAAAGGGCTGCCACGAGGATTTTCCACTAGTCGCCTACCTCTGCTAGACCAATGAGAAGCCTTCGTTGCGAGCACACAGCGCATCAACACTCGATGTACCCCATAAAGGAGACGCTTTTGCTCTCGGATAGCATCCTCGCGAGTCTCGTCAAGCTGAAATGTTGCTGATTACCGTAACGATTTTGGTTAGGCATGAGATTGCAACTTCAATCGATTGGGTGATTACTATTGATACATATTGGGTGAGTTTCATTTGAACTCCTTGGTGTGCTGCGATCAAAAATTGATCGTTCTCAGGATCACCTCAGGAAGGTTCGCACACTTCTAGTCTAGTGGCGGTGGGCCCTTGACCTCAATAGCAGAGTGAATGTTAATGCTTGAGATGATTAAAAACATCCAGTACAAGGAATATAAATAAGAGTACAAGGGAATTCGAAACGACCTAGCTATCCATGTACTCTAAGGGGTACATTCCCTTATTACAGCTAAATCCAACCGTGCGACTCCGAGTGGTTACGAAACTGTTCGGGCAAAATCCTCGCCACTGCTGCTGCCTGCCTGACGGTCCAGATGCTTCTCGTAACCGTACGTCCCTTCGCATTACTTCCGCCCTTTCGTCTTCGACCTCGGTATTGCGTGCTTCGCTTGCTGCGGTGAGGAGTGCACAGTGATGTTTCATTGATCACTATTCGTAACACCCCCCTTCACTCCTGGCCGTAGCAGGTCTTGACCCGCTTGACTACCCCGCTGAGTTCGGAGCAGTACTGGTACTGCTGACGCGGCAGTTTCTTCGTGAGGAAGTCTGCTGCCATGTCACCCGTCAGGCAGTAGGTTAGGTCAACCTTGCCCTTGTCAACTTCGTCCCTGACGAAGAAGTACCGCAGTGCTATGTGCTTGGTGCGGTTGACGAAGCCAGGTTTGTTCGCGATCCTGATCGCGCTCTTGTTGTCATAGTGCAGGCGAAAGATCGTTGAGTCCGGGATTTTCGCCTCCTGCAGTAGCTCCTGAAGATAGAGACCTTCGCAAACAGCTGCTGTTGCTGCGATGAATTCTGCTTCTGCCGATGACAGGGCAACCAGCTCCTGCTTCTGAGAATTCCAGGAGATGGGGCCGCTAAGCTCGAGGCGGAAGAGGAATCCTGTCCTGGACCGTCGATTGTCGGGAGCGGCGGCGTGATCCGCGTCCACGTAGCCGATGAGACTGAAGGATGCGGTTGGAATGGTGGAGTAGTAGAGCCCAACATTGGGCGTGGAGATGAAGAATTGAAGTGCTCGCTGAAGATCTGAGATATTCTCAGCCGTTGGTTTGCGTGAGTATTGGGCGAGCTGACTTGCGATGTAGGATAGGTCTGGCCTGCAGGTGACTGCGGCAAAGAGCAGGCATCCCAACTGCTGCTGGTAAGTCTGAAGCCCAGCTGGGGATATGGCTTTGTTGTCAGGCTTATGGTTGGGTCATGGAGTGCGGTAAGGGGTGGAGAGCGGCGCAGGCGTGATGTTGAAGCGCTTGCCAAGTTCCTCTGCATACTTGGCTGCTGAAAGGTGAATGGCTTCCGGCGAGTAGGTGATGTTGAGGCCGAGGAACTGCTTCACGTCGTGGTTGCAGGTGATGTCGACGCGCCCAGCCAGGTTTTTCTCGAACTGCTTGAGTAACTCGGGGCTTGACCCTGTGTAAAGCAGATCGTCGACGTAAACTGTGAGCAGAATGTATTCGCCGCGGAAGTCGCGGCGGTACATCCCTGGATCGTGAGGCAGCTGCTTGAACCCAATTTCAAGCAGGATGTTGTGTAGGTACTGCTGCCAGAGTCTCGGTGCTTGTTTGATCCCGTAAAGGGATTTGCGCAGCTGGCAGACACGTGGGTCCCCGTCGCCGTATGTGTGCGGCTGCTCCACGTAGTGTCAGAATCCCAACCACTAGACCATTGAGATAAAAGGGCTTGTTAAATAGCGGGTCAGTGCGCCCATAACCCCCCAGGCCAACATGCCTGTAACCCTTCCCTAGAATCAATCGGGGATCACCAGTGGACCTCTGACACCCCCCCGCATTGGGATGCTCGAAGTGCACACACTGGGATTTGAACCCGAGACCTTCGCTCTGATACCATGTCAGAATCCCAACCACTAGACCATTGGGATAAAATGGCTTGTTAAGTAGCAGGTCAGTGCGCCCATAACACCCCAGGCCAACATGCCTGTAACCCTTCCCTAAAATCAATCGGGGATCACCAGTGGACCTCTGACACGTAGATCACTGCATCTACTAACGCGTACAGAAACGCGTTCTTCACATCAATCTGTCGGAGTGGTAAGTGTCGTGCAGCTGCGATGGCGAGGAGAATTCTGACGGACGTGTGACGGCTGACCGGTGCGAATGTCTGGTCGAAGTCAATGCCATGCCTCTGATCGTAGCCTCGCACCACCCAGCGTGCCTTGAATCGTTCGATCGTCCCGCCAGCTCCGGTCTTCACGCGGAAGACCCACTTGCCGGAGAGTCTCCTTCTTCCCTTCACTGCTGCACGGTCGACGAGCACCCAGGTGTCGCGTGACTCGAGTGCCCTGATTTCCACATCCATTGCTTCGCGCCACTCCTTGCTATCAACGGGAGTTGTGTGTTGGCCCCGTCCTCGCTTGGGCGGAGCCGACTTCGTGGTCGGGTGTGAGGGGAGCAGCCGACTTGCAGCAGTGGGCGAGCTGGTTGGCGAGGAGGTCGACCTGCACGGAGCCACTGCACGGGCGCCGACTTCAGGGTGGCGCCGACTTCAGGGAGGTCGACGTGGGAAGTCGACCTGCGGAGGACGGTGGTCGTCAACTTGGGGCAGCCGACTTCGGTGGTCGGCTGACGGACTGCTGGTCGACCTAGTGGTTGGTCGACCAGGCCTGCTGGTCGACCTGCTGGTGGTCGACCTGACCTGGTGGTCGACGAAGGAGGGGCCGACGTCGACCTCGACTCAGGACGCCGAGCAGTTGGGCGTCGAGTAGCTGGGCGTCAACTTCGTGACGCCGATTTCGGGTAGCCGACTTGGGTGGTCGGCCGACAACTGCGCTGGTCGACATGAAGCTGGTCGACCAGGAATGCTGGTCGACGTGGAGCTGTCCGACCGGAAGTGACGTCGACCTGGAGCTGGTCGACCAGGTGCGTGGTTGACCTGGTGAGGTCGACTTGGAGGTGGCCGTCGACTTGGGAGGTCGACGGGCACGTACGGGAGCAGCTGGTCGACGTGGTTGCCAAGTCGACCAGGTTACCTGGGTGACGAACTTCTGCGGAGGAGTGCGACGGTCGCCCAGGCGAAGTTGGCGAGCTCGACCTCGGGGGTGGTATCCCGAGGTTGACATGGCGGATCAGGTGGAGTCGTCAGCACGAGGATGACTTGGTGTGTGCGTTGTGCAGGTGACGAGGCTCAGCCCGCCAATCATCTGCGAGCACCAGCGAAGCGGGTGCGCTGCTGTTCTGCGTGAGCAGCGCTGGCACGCCGTCAACTTGCGAAGTTGGCACGCCGTCGACTTTGCACTGCTGGAGCGCGGTCGACCAAGTCGTGCTGGAACGCGGTCGACCATGCTGCGCTGGCAGTCGACCGACCTGAATGCTAGCTCTGATGTAGTCTAGCCATGCCACCTTCATTGTACCATTATCGTTGTCAACCTTTCTAGTGAAACTCTTGCCAATTCTCCCTGTGAACTAGCAAGCAGTGTGTGCACTAGGAAAACGACGAAGGACCAATGAACGCAGAGATCACACGAGCACCCGTGCCTAGCCCGTAGTCTAGCTCCCGTTATAGTAGTTATCTCCGCACTTGCTGTGTGGGCCTGTGAGAGCTTGCCGTGGGTTCTTAGGCTCAATGATGCGCGGCGCCGTTGAGGTGGCAGCGTGGAGCCCGAGGAGTTGCATTTCGGTGATGGTGATGTCGTGGTGATGCTGCGGGACGACCTCCTGTACATCGTCGTCGTCGCTTTCTGGCTCTGGTGGGGCTGGTGGTGCTGCGCCTCCTCTGCTTCCGTTTCGTCCTGTTGCGCCTCCTGCTGCGCCCGCTCCGCCTTCTCCTGAATCATCGTCGTCGTCATCGTTGTGACGATCGCCCCTCGTGAATTTGCCTCTGGGATCTTGTTCCAGAATGGCTGCGGCCGCTTCGTCTTCTGGCGTGGCATAGCTGTGGCCATCATTAGCGTAGACGCGGTTCGCGTTCGTCTACTCGTCTTCGCGGAACTGCTGGAGGAAGAGGCGCTCGTAGAAGATGACGTCGCGCGCGTTCTTAACTTTCTAGCTCAGAAGGTCCAGAATGATCCACGCCTTGTGTTCGTGGCTGATGCAGAGGTGGATCCCCCAGCGCGCGCGGCTCTTGAATTTCCCGATGGTTGATGTTGGCGGGCGATATTGGACCATGCACCCCCACGCGCGGAGCATGGATGGGTCGCCCTTCCTTCCCGTCCACTTCACGTGCGGGGAAAGATTCCCGGTGATTGCGGTGGTTGACAGTAAGTTGTGCACCCGCATGGCGTGATGCATTGCGTAAGTCCAGTAGATCGGCGGAAGCTTCGACTGCTTCATTAGCGCCCGCACCTTCATCATGAGAGTACGATTCGTG